GCGGGAAGCAGGTTACCACCAGATTTGTCAATTTCAAATCTACAATAGTTAAAATCACCCAAAATAGCCCAAGAGTTGAGAGACCTCATGCATAACATTTCTAATCTGATTCCACAATAGCTTCCTATCTTCAGCCGAGTTGGCTGCATAAATAATAGAGAGGAGAATAGGGGGGAAGGAGCCCACCGTGAGAGTGTCATGAATCATTTGAGCAGAGTAGAAAGAAGTGAAGGAGATGTGAGAAGAGTCCCATTTAATCCATATTCTACCATGAGTAGAAAGATTAAAGTTGTTACAACAATTTTCATTGTCAAAAGCATGATGAGAATTCTGGAACCATGCATCACTTTCAACAGGCTCAAGTACTTTAGCCTCTAAAATACACATAAGCTTCAGTTTATGAGAGAAAACCAAATCTTTACTGACTTTGTCGGGGCTATTGAACCTCCTAACATTCCAACACGCTATAAGGGGAAAGAATATTAAGACTTTAATGATTTAGCCTTCTTGGCTGCTTTGGCTCTAGTGTGCTTGGAGTGGACGGAGGTTTGAGATTTGGGAGGGGATTGATAAGAGGGGGGGAGGGACTACCACTAAGCAGTTGGTACGCCTAACCCGTGCCTTCAGATTCCCTTAACACTTACACTTACATCCGCCTAACGGCCTAAGTTAACAAACCTGATCCAACCCTTCAGCCAATCAGACACAAGCAGCTCTCACCTTCTCCCTTTTCCTCTCTGATAGCCACAAGACCCGACAACCAACTCCCACCAACGCCTGGCCCTGCACCGAACTCCCTCTCTCTCTCTCCAATCCTCCTCCTCGTTGCTTTTACCCTCTTAGTTGGATCCAAGGATTGGAATACTATGCTCACAAAATACAGTCACAGCCTTTTTTTTTTTTTTTTAATAAAGTCACAGCCTTAATTGTATTATTTAGCCAGGTCTGAAAAGTTTTCTGATTCCTCAGTCTTGCAGTGCACTTTTTCTTTATTTATTCTCATAAAAGATTTTATTTGATGAGAAGAGTAAGTTCAGATTCATTGCATGTAACACTAAAAAGAAGAAGGGAAGTAGTCCTGAATGCATTTTGTATTCATTTAATCCTTGTTATTATCACTAGTTAATCATTGCTATGGTTATTATTAGCTATGGTAGTGATAGTAGTTATTATTGTTATTGTTGGTTAGTAAAGATAATGGCTAATAATGATGATAATCAACATCATTATTACCATTATTATTGACCTTAATAGTAGTAATTTCTATTATGTTTGTTATTATGATAATCATTATTTTATAATTATTATCATCGTCAAAAAAGAAGAAAAACAAAATCAAAATTTGTGTATTCCATTTTGTGTCTTTTCCTTCTTCGTCGTCATCGTCAATTGTCACAATGCACAGGTATAACGTTTCAAACTCAAATACCTCCAAAATCTCATTATTGATGTTTGCGGCGTGCCGGGGGACCCCATATGCACGCTTTTCTTGGCGTGGTGGGAGGGAACTTGGTGCCACACGAACAGCGAATCAAGGGAGCCTCATGAGTGCTTTTCTTTGCACAACAAGGCACAAATTTAAGTACCCATACGCATCTCCGTGCCATCGAGGAAAGAAAATTATGTCTTCAAACATGTACCCTCAAAGATCCGTGCACGCATTTCTTAGCGTGGTGGGATTGAAGACAACAGTTGCGGTGTCACCCAACATCAACCGTGCATGTCTTTCTTGACGTGGTAGACAAACTAAGACTCCTGAAATTTTCCTTAAACAAAAATAGGGACTTGATTTGAACTCGAATGAACTACAGGAGACTTTATTTGGACTTGAACCAAACATGAACAACAGGGAACTTGAATTAAATAACAAGGAAATGGATTTTAAACTGATAAAAAAAATGAGAATATTAAAACCAAATAATAACTTTTACTGTTCAAATGCATTCAAATGATCATGTAAGCAAACAAGGAAATCGTTACATGCGAAGAACAATATGTGCACAAGGAAATGCAATCGCCCATATATGATCATGAACACAAACTTGATGTTTGCATAAGTACAACAATTCATTTGCATGAGGAAGACTTGTGATGAGCACATAACCCAATTTGGAGATAAAATGATTACAATAAATATCACAGTGTGTTCATGAATAAGAACATTGAAGCTTATACACAACCGATGTCACTTAAGTGTAAACAAATATACTAGATCCTCGTAAGTGATGACAGTCAACACGTATGAAGAGATGGATGACGAGGAATAGAGCTCAATCAATAGTCAATAATGACATGCAAATGAATGCATCGGTTTGCATGCAAATGATGATAGAGAATATGTTGTAGGCACCTACAAACTATTGTAGAAGGTTTGTAATGTGCACAATGAATATGATATGTCCAGAAGTGAACAACAAGGAGTATGTAGCGACAATTTGCTAGCAGGCATGTACTGCGAATATAGTATGCCTATAAAAGAAAAAGCAAGAAGGCTATAAAGGAAATAATCTCCCTGCTACCAATATCAGTCAACTTGAAAATGGACATATAGTAACTTGCCTACGAGCATATATGGAAGAGTTACAACAAATATTATTGCTTGCAAGTAGCATTAGAAGGTTTAACTCCTCTGCGACCTGCCTGCAAATGATAGCAGAAGGCCCATAATATGCACAACACATCGTCTACAATCAAGAATAGAATATTTGCAATACATACGAGTTCCAACAAGTTACTATAGGAAACTTCTTATTCACACAGTAGTTTACATACTATCGACAGTTGATAATATGCATGCAAGTGCACAGGATCCTCAATAAGCATCACATGTCACCTACAAATGATGTTAATTAATGCTCAACGTCCATACTTGTAGGAGAGGCGTGATAGTTACAATAAGCATAATCATGTGTTCATGAATGAGGTATAGAGAGAGTGTAGTAAATAAAGTAACGTCCCTACAGTTGGCACTGATTAAAACAAATATAATAGCTCCCAATGAACCCTGAAAAATCACTATACAAGTAAATACAGTAGCTTGCCAGTCAACAATACATGGAGAAATTGATGATGAATGTAATTCAACTTGTATGCAATATCAACATATGAACATGAATGTTGAACCCTGCAATCAATACAAACAGAAGGTGACCTAGTGCGCGCTACTAAACGACGCCACGCCATCGAATCCACAACACTTATGCAAGCGGACAGAAGGCGTTTACAAACTCTCAAATAGAGCGTTGCGCACATTCAAATGGCAGTTGCCCGTAGAACTGATCGGCACCAAACATTTAAAAACACCCCCACACATACATTAAAATATGTATACACAAACGATTACAAAAATACCCCATAAACACCCGCATGGGTCACGGGGAGCGTAATGTATTCACACATGTAACGTCTGAGGATGCTGCGTAGGTCAATAAGTGAACTCAAGTTTAAGCATGATCCTTTTATGTGGATAGATATGAGTCAACAAAAGCTTGAACCATCAAACAAATATACGATCATGACGTCGACTGAGATATTTATTTATATACATTCACATTAGACTTTCAAGGCCTATAAACAAGAAAAATTTACCAATAAAGGCATAAAATAAGAACCTGGTCTTCTATCAGCAAGTAGACGGAGTCGACAAGATTCAATCCACAAAATGAAAACTTCTCATATTGCCCTGATGATGGTTATGTTGAACGTATATCTCAACCAGAGGGGTCAATTTCAAGTATCCAAAATGCCTCCAAATTCTCAAATGCCCATGAAAATCTAAAACTCCAAAAATATCACAACCTGAATTATTTAAAAGTCGAAATTCAACCATAAAAAAACTTAAAAGCAAAATTCATTCACCCTCCACATTAATTTGTCGAGGTGGACAAGTTTGAAAATACACTTCGGCTCACAAAAATCTAGTGTCTGGTCAAGAATACCACTAGGATTCATTCTCAATATGTCTAATGCCAGTAAAGACGTAGCACATGTGTAATTGACAGTTTTGCAGTCAAATTGCACCGCAGGTAAACGGTTATAACCGGGACCCTCTAAACCGGATGGTTTGCTGCAAAATGACATCACAAATTACAGTCATGGCCAGAGCCCGTAAGCTTCCCAACGTCACTAAATCCTTGAGATATTAATCAATAAGATATATTATAGGACACAAAACCCTCTGTTAACTAAGGTGAATTTAAATTTATCATCTTAGACAAATATTCACCCAATGTTTACAAGGTACCCTTGTATGAAACAACCCATGACTGCTGACAAGAATCAGACTACCTCATTTGGCTAAGTAGATCATGGGCCACGAGCCCGAGACGACGGGACTCTGTGATCTTGATCGGGTCCATCATCCATTCCCCCAACATCCATTTTAAGTGCAAGAAGGTGGTAAATTTTCAATTTTAAATATCAAACTCTCAATGTCGAAACTCATGCTGCAATTATACGCAAAATACATGCTACATATTTGATTGATAACTAGCTTTAATCGAAAGTTCCCTCGCTATCAGGAGAAGTAATTAACTATAATGGCTTGCACCTATAGAAAACAAGAACTCAGATCTAAAGTCCTCGCAAAATGAGGGTGGGAGGGTGAAATCTCTGGATAGTGTCTTATTTCAAACCTAATATGCCTTCTGAAAATTTTGCCCCGTAACTTAATTCGTTAAAACTCCTCCGAAAGAGGGGAGGCCGGGGCGCCAATTTTTGGAGCCCACATATTTGAACACAAGTAACAACTCTTGCATGCATATCATTAATGACTTGAACATAAGCATTATTAACTCATTTCTTTTCTAAAACTCTCCATAACACTTTTCTTGAAACTTTATCAAATGCTTTCTCTAAATCAATAAATATCATATGTAGATCGTCCTTATTCTCTCTATACTTCTCCATCAAACCTATCAAACCTCTCAATAAAGGTATAGCTTCCATAGTAAACCTACCCAGCATAGAGATGAACAAGTACATGTTGAAGTATAATAGGCTGTCATGCATTCACTTTTTCAAAGCGACAATGGAAGTAAAATATATAGCTGAAGCTGACAATAATCCACAAGAAGGCTCAAATGACAATAACAAGAATGAAAAATAATTACCCGAGTCTGAAAATCCAATAACACAGATCTGCATACAATGATCAATGTCTAGTTTAATTCCCCGGTCAGCAACTAAACACGTGTAGAAAGAGGCAAGATTAAATACCTTCAGTTCTTTCCTGTACAATCTGTACAGCAGCATGAATTTTAAGATCTTGCAACAAACTTAGACTCTTCAATTTACAGTACTTCCACTTTCTTCTTCATCATCGTCATCATCATCTGGCAAGCCAGCTTCATCCCCTATTCCTTCAAGAAGCCTGTCTACATCCTCACCCAACTCCACCAGCCTCGTGCTCAGCTTCTCAACTTTGCTCTGCTCCTGGCCAAGACAGACCAGCAGATCATTCAGCTCAGCCTCAGCCTCTTTCTGAGCTTCATCTCTTGCTTCTGCTCGTATGGTTTCCACATCAGGATGGAACACATTCCCTCCTTTCCTTAAACTTGTTGCCTCTGACTCCAGTCGGAAGTTGTCTTGTTCCAAGCTGTTATAAGCATCTGATAAGCTCTTTAGGTCAGATTCCAGCTTTCCAGCTGCATTCTGGTAGTAACTGGCTTCCTCCTCAATCTTAACTTTCTGCGCCTTCAGTATTTCTAGTTGTCTTGTTGCTTCCTGTAGCTCTCGACGAAGGGCCTCCGAATGAACCTTGTCTCTTCCACTGCTGGATTTCATGGCAGCAGCTTCAAGTGCTTCACTTCCACTAGTCCTCAATAACTCCTCCGCTAAAGTAGCATTCCGAGCTAGCAGATCCTGTAGCCCCCATCATCAACCAATTAAAAAAAGTATTAATTATTCTACAAACATGATTAAACAAAGCTAATCTCTAATCTGAAAAATGAATGTAGAAATGTAACCTGCATGTCTTGGCATTGCTTCTCCACGAAAGACTTCAACCTTTTAATGTAATCCCTATCAATCTCTCCATCCCTTTGCTCGAGATCGGAAGGAACAGCCACAGCCTTGTTTTTTGTATTGCTGTAGATGTCTACCACCTTTTCTCTAATTTCTGATTCAAGTTTTTTAGCAAAATTAATAAATAATGGATCAAGAACTGCCACAAGAATTGGGTTATCCTGCATTTGATCCAATCCATCATTCTCAACCTCCTCTATGTCCAGCATGCTCGCAGAACTAGACCTTATGGGTGGCTTGTTGGGAACTAACGTAGGGAAGTGAGAATCAAATGCCTTCTGTAGTTCATCGAAGTGCGCGAAGTAAGAAGTCAGTCCAATCTTTTGGCTGATGGCATCAACAACAGCAAAAGCATCTCTACCACTATCACTAGAACTGTTGTTGAGAGCACATTCCGCCAGAACTAAGGAAGCTAATCCTCGAACAAATACGCCTACATGATGACTTGAGACTAACTCCAGTAAATATGTAAGGTGTGTTGGTGAATCTAGAAAGCAGCTGACGGCATTTGAACAATCAGCCAACCATGTAACAAACAACTGCAGAATAATTGGCTGAATGTATGAGCTATCTCCTAATCCATTAGTGCTGGATTGATTTTTATCTCTACCATTCAGAGAGACTGCAAAAGCCAAATATTTAACTAGCCGATGCAGTAAAGGCTCGGGCGAGCCCAAAGATGGCACTGGTTCATCAAGCTTGACTTGCAAGACCTGCAATCCTAGTCAAGTTTTAAGAATGAGAGTTCCAAAATAGAGTTAAATATGCATTTTATGAAGTAAATTTACTGATGGCTAATTTAGCTTAGAAAAATGAAACTTATTCCTGCTTTATTCATCATATCAAATCCTATGAAACTTATTCTCCAGGTGCTTAGGGTTAGAAGATTCTAATAAATAAATGGCACAGCGAACACAAACTTCAGAAATAAAAAGACAAATGCCATTCCACGCCGTGAGTAGATTATTTACACTACAGTATGCTTTCTAGGACAAAAGAAAATCGCCAAGGAAGAAAAATATTTACATACACGCTCCTTGCAGTGAACATTGTCCCTTAGTATATGAGAAAGAACGCTACAAGCTCTGGAGCACAACTGCATTAGAATGTCATTAGTGTACAAAAAACATCATGTGATGAATATAAGTTGGCAAAAATTGAAAAGAAAAAAAAAAGTCAAGAATGAAAACCAGTTTCACTGTATTTGTATAATCACAACAAAAATACAAATCAATTCTAAATGCTTTCAGTTAATCTTTGAATCAGTCATACGACATCAGGAGAGAATATTCCTGTAGCAAGTCTGTAGGCTTCCTACCTAAGAATAAGGGTACAGACAAAGCTTACAATAGGAGGTTCATATAAAAACAGACAACAACTCAAATCATGCATGCTGATTTAGATATATTTCATAGCCAAATTGGATCAGTTCTGGCTATAAAAACATGGAACCAAGAAATTGTTGTCGTTTTTTAATTCCTGGTCTAAGGTAAATCCAATTGGCTTGCTGTTATTGGTATAAGAAGATTTAACAATTTAGAAACATAGAATATAACATATTCAGTACCATTAATTACATCAAATACAACGCAATGAACAAAAAAATGTCATTTATGAGCAATTTCTTATTTCATGAACATGACCAATTTCTGTAGGCTTGATCTGAGAATCAAAACCTGAAACTTCTTTTTTTTTTTTTAAAGGTTGATCATGCCGGAAAAAAAAAAAGAGGTTCAGAGGGAAGACGGGAATGAGCTACTTTCTAAGGTCATCAAGTGGAAGTGCAGGAACTTCGGCCTAGATTGTGGATTTAAGCATTGGGAGCTGCAAACTTAAGTTTTAGTCTATGAGGGATTAATAGATCCACATTACACGGTAAACAAGTCTAGATATTGACATTTTTGTTAGTGCACTGCAATGACCCAGCATGATAGCTGCCCATGTCCCTTGTTCTTCTCTTTTTTCCCTCCCAAGGCTGATATTTAGATTGAATTAAAGGGAACAGCGAATGGAGAAGCGTTCTATGTTCTTGTGTGTTGGATTGAAGAGCTGTGTAATAGGGTATGCACTATGCAGCTATATTATAGTGGTTAAAGTAAACATTACCACAAGAAGCCATAAATTAAAGGGAAAAAAATGGAATACAAAATAAACAGAAGAATATGGATTTTTAGATGAGATTAAAGGGAGTGTTACATGGAGTATGCTAAGTTTTTTGTGTTGGATTAAAGAGCTGTGCACCAAGGCCTGAGACCATATTACAGAGGCTGAAGTAAACATTATCGCAAGTAGCCTGAAAAAAAAAACAGACAAATGAAGACAAAAGATTGATGTGCTAAACCTCCATTCGGAAGATGCATAACATGAACGAGGTGAATCCCAAAGCAACTAAATCATAATAGGTGGTAGAATCAGAAACAGAAGGTACAATCGAGCTAAATTTCACAAAATTGCTAAAATATGCAACTCGAGATAAATAAATTGTTCAATTATTTAAAAACATTTTGATATTTCGATAGACTTCAAAAAAGGCAATAGGCTTCAAATAAGATCAAGGGTTAAAATTTGTTAATAGGCAAAACACTCGCAAGTTCTTATTGAAACAAAAACCATAATACTCTTTTTTAGCTTATGTCGTAGTACAAGTTAGTCAGGAACAAATAAAAATCTCTTCCGCACCTCCAAATTTCCACCTTTTGTTGTTACCAAAGCTTGCAAGAGCATGCTGAAATCAAAAGGTAAAACGATCAGAAATATTATTAATTATTTAAAATGATTAAAAGTAGAAGAAAATACTTCTATTATGCAAACAAAAATATTTTGCAAAAAACATCAAATGCAGCAGTGATGTAGCCTTTATAATTTTAACTAACCTTCCAAAGGAAAGGCTCCCATCATCTTGAAGATTACCATTGGTACCTGAATTTGTTTCCGTCATTGTTGATGCCAATATTGCTTGCCCATCTGTATTTTTCTGTTTCAAGAATGAAATCAATATGTTAAACCCATTAAAGTGTACTCAGGCATAGCTGTGAATATTGCTATAAAATGATGAAGCCATCAAGGCAGCAAACAAAAACGCTAGCCATGATAGGTATGCCAAGTTCAATGTAGGAAAGACTACAGCACCCATACTTATCAGCTAATGTAAAAAACAAACATCATCACCATCCCTTGTATTAGTATTACCCCTCCGACTATTTGGGGAAACTTTAAGAATCCTTATCAACAATCATTCCTACTGAGTGCCACTTGATGTGAATTTATTTTGCACAATTTTTTTTTATGATTTCTATATGCTACCTCTGGCGTGCACCTTTTTCATTCCTAATCTAACATTTATATTAGTGTATCTTCTGCCTACCATTATACATGCAAATCACTCAATTCAATGTTTAACTGCTTTATCTTTAATAGGTGCCACTTTAATGGTTTTTTCTCAAATAATAATTTTGCAATCTTCCATATATAATTTTCCCACACATCCATCATAACAGATAATTTTTGCCATATCCCACTTCTCTATGAATTCTTTTAATACCAGCACTTGAAGCTATGTGACTATGTCACTTGGCCAATCTACTCACTTTTACACTGCATATTTTTTATTGCAAGGTAGTCCTAAGAGGTTTCACCATGATAACCACCCAATCATAACTCCAAGAATTATATCAAATTTTCCATTGAAACAAAAGAAAAGAAGTTGGTTGGAAGTTATTGAGAATTTTCTCTCATTTCACCTACTTACCCTAATCCAGCTTCATTAACATCTCATCCTCAATTCAGTTTCTTTAGCAGCTTCCCTCCTTCGATTTAAAGTAACTATAAATGAATGGATAGTTCTAAAACCCCCATGTCAACTAGAACATGAAATGTGCAACACAATTTTAGTGTAGCCCAATAATAAACTTTATTTTCCACACTTCCTTTCCCTGCTTTAGCCTTTCTTCAGTCGCATCTCTAAATGGATGAATATGACTGTTAACAAGAATGTAAACTCACAACAAAAAATACATAATACATGTCTTGAAATTACGACTCTAAACTCACAACTGGCAACACAATACCGTTGAGAAGGTTAAGCAATATTTTGCCTGCTACAACTGGAGCATTCTTCAATAATATCAAGCATTGCCTTACAAATGTACGCAACTCAGAACAACCTTTTCAGTCTATTGAGGCTTTCCAATTCACCGCATTAAAATGTAAACAAGCCAGTGAATTTTAAAATCAATTATACTCCAAGGTCTAAAGAAAATCCTGTTATCCACTCTCTCCCACAGAATGAATCCCATCACTTTTGTCTGAGTTTTAAAATGCTGATGTAAATTAAAACGAAAAATGTGCAAAGCAATTTTACCAGTGGCCCTATAATAAAATTTATTTTCCACAATTCATGGTCTCTTCTTCTGCCCTTGTTCAGTCACATTTCAAAGTATATGGCTGTTCAGTTTTGTCTGGAGTTTTAAAAACATGACGTCAATCAAAACATGAAACCATGTAAGCAAATTTTCCATAATTTCAATTTTGCATAATTGAAAATATCCAATCGCCCCAAGATGCAAACTTAGAAGTTTATGGTAATCGAAAAAAACAAAAAGAGTGCACTGGAATAAATAAACTGAAAATTGAGTGCTAGATTTTATTTAGTGTTTTATTATTTTAGGAATTTAAGTAACAAAAACTTTCTTTCAATTTTGATAAATATGCATAGGATGTTCCCTATGAGAAAGTCCTTGAGCATGGCACTGTCCAACTAAAGGACTGTGCATTGAAAAGATTGGGCTAGCAAACTGTTGTAAAAATGCAAAACACGTCTTGAAATTGTAAATGTAAATTAAAAACTGAGAATAACTCATTTTGCACATGATAATACTGCTAACATAGTGAAGCAAAAATTTACTTCCAACAATTTTGATATTCCTCTTTGATATCAAGCTCAGCCTTATAGATGAAAGCAACTTCCTTGAACTAACTTTTCAGTCCTAAAGATATTGAAGCTTTCCGATTCACAAGCCTAAACATGCCCAACAAAGAAAACGTTTAAAAGCCAATAATACTTTAAGTTCTTACCAAAGATCCTCTTATCTAGTATTCTCACTGACCAGAAAATTACTATTAAGTCACATGAATACTTCTATAAGTTTTCTAAAAAACATCATTGTCATTTAGATTACTCATTGCGGAACTGTAAAAGGTCTTTATCACACATGGAGTCCAAGAGTTTGAAGCCACTGATTAGATTTCATTTGAGACTCCTGATTTAGAGCGGCTTACGAACAAGAACAAGTTTGAAGATAAAGCAAACATAACATAACAAAGCTCTTTATTCTAAACGAATTTAGAACAGTCACGCAGTGCCAATATTCTTCAGCATAGAAAGCAAAATTTACCAAGCTATTTTGGAAATGAAAACACTCAGTACTCATAATACAAAGTCTTAATGAATAGTATATCACACCCATTAATGCCACAATTAACATAACACCGCAAAGCCTATTGCTTTCTCCATTAAAAAAGGAATCATTTTGTAGGGTTCACGTCTAGTGTATTTTATTAAGAAATGGAGAAAATTTTCAATCTTAGATTGGAAATGCTTGCGTTTTTTCTTCTTTCAAGAAACAAGCAAGCAAAATTCATCTTTACTTTGCCACAGTTACCTTAGAGATAAAATTTAGAATTTACTTTGCCAATCACCCAAAAAAAAATTTCCTATTCCTCTTAAATCTTCAAAAGGGCAAAATACTGCACAAAAATTTTCAAACCTTATTTCAAGGGTCCAATCGAGATGAATCTTTACTATATGGTTTTGAGATCAAGCCAAAAACCTGGTCATAAAATTATTCAATATATGTGCATATAATTTTGACTAATATAGGATTAGATGAAGTGTTTTCTACAGATATGAAGAAAATTGTTCCTTCCAACCTGCAAAACCTGTTAGTTTCCAGAAGGACCTTAGATCATGAAAAGCTTGGGATAAACATCCGGTATCATAGAGTTTCCAGTTACTTTGGGATTCTTTGGAATATTTTGCTTTAAGTGAAATCTTTAAGTACATATCAGAAAGTAGAAAGTAAAAGAATTGTACTACAAAGCATCAATAAGCGTGTTCTTAGAAGGTGACTATTAAAGATTAAAGTCAAATTTCTGAAAGAACAGTAAAGAAAATGTTGTAAGAACATAATGTAGCAGGACTAATAATAAAAATGCATGACATTTTTGTAAAATACATAATGAATTAGGGCAAGGTCGTGATGGGATAACCTCGCAGAAGCACTTGAAAACATAGTTAGCAGCAACAAATTCTTGAGAAACAGAGGTACGCAGGATAATACGAAGAATGGCATTAAGGGCAGGTTCAGAATGATGTTCCTCTCCAACCAACTTGCTTGCAAGCGCATCACGATTCTGGGGATTTCTTATAACTAAGTTGCCAATGCAAGTCAATGCCTGAGAAAAAAATATTACATAAACATTAGTAGAAGCTCTGACAACAACTGAAAAAAGCAAGAATTGTATTCAACACTATTTGCAATGACAATGAAATGTCTTACCCTACAGCGCACGGAAACCGGAGCCCACTGACTCTCAACTCCCAGCATCAGAAGATGGTCTAAAATTTTCTTCTGCATTTGTTGAATAAAAGAAAATTCTAACTTGGGTTAAAGCAAACCTTTTAACTAATAAAGATTCAAATGCATCCAAGTCTTTTAGCTACCTGAGCAAATGAAGTCTGATTAGATAATCGATTAGCATCCTTTGTTGGCTCACCTTCTGGACCCCCAATCAGAAGCAAGTCAACAGTTTCCAGCGCATGAAGAAGATTTATTGTCTACTAAAAAGACAATAGTTTACATTTCAAAATATAAACTAGTCAGAACCGGTAGAACTGCATATCCATTGAATGCCATCTTCATCATTAAAAGAGTAGATATGTGTCATATTAGATTGAAGAAGTGTCCGCTTCATTATACCTTCTGTTGTGTGAAGTTATAAGCACTTCCCCTGTGGAGTTTCAGTATTGATATCAGAGGTTCAAATCCAATAGTTTCCTTGAGCAACATCTGAATAATGAGATCTAATGGTTAGAATAAGTACTGTCGTTTAATGGCAAACAAAGTCGATAGGGCAAACCTGATTAGAAGCATTGTTTCGAATGAGATTATTCAGCAGATCGATACAATCCTATTATGATAGCAAGAACATCAAAGCGCATGAGTAAACTAACAGCATACTTCACATTAATATATCATCTAATTTTTAAAAAAAAAATGTCAGCATTCAAAGTTGCTTATTCAGAAATACTCAACTGCCTAAAACTTGAACTTATTTTTGGGTAGAAAAAGTGAATAGCAAGTTTTTAGGTTAAACTATAAACCTATTACCTGGACAACAACACCTCCATCAGACCCTCCTTCCTCTTTAATTATGCTAAATATCTTCTCAAATGCTCCTTCAAAAACAACAATCTTTTGAATTTCCTAAAAAACAAGATGCCAAAATGTTCCACATGTTGAGGCTATTAGAAAATTTGAGTGTAATTGGTTGTAAATTTTCAAGAAAACAACAAGGAAGCTCACCTCTGCTTCACGAGTTAGGTATGTAAGGAGTAGTAGGGCTTCATTTCTGATAACCTGTTATATAAAGCAGAAATCAGTTTGAAGAGAATAGCAGGTGGCAGGATCTGTCTCAAAAAAGTTGTCTTGCACAAATAGCTTAATGACTACTGGCTTCAAACACAAATTATAGACAACATAAGGGAAATTTTGGCATATTTCTTTGCACATTATTGTAAATGGATAATTAAGTTCAATCACTTCATGAAAGTGCAAAGGAAGGCCAACAGATCTGGAGAGGTAAAATTGACTTGGTAGAGGGATGTGTAAACTAGTTAAAGCAAAAGTCCCTCAGCATAAATGGTGATGATTTAGATCAGTAAATCTCAATTTTACAAAAAAGAAAACAAGACCCCAATTTTCCATACCTTAAATCAACAGCATTATGCAATTAATATTAAGATGCCACCAAATTCATACTAGTATGTTAGGTGGATTTAAGTATGGCTACTCAAGCATCTAAGATGCAGATAATTAGCCTCAATTCACACTCAGTGGGACATTTCATACCAATTTAGTATAAGTTTCTATAGTACTTTGCTAGAAACTAATTTTTAAAAAGAGTAGATACGATGATTCGGTACCTTAACCTGATGAAAAATTAACCACGAAGTCGGGCAAGCAAGACACAGAGAACAACAATGACAAGCCTTTATCCCACCACATAGGGTTGGCTACATGAATCCTTTTTCTCCATTGTGTTCTATTAATAGTCAAATTGTAATTTAAATCTAACAAAAATGTAATTTTTAATACATTCTAACCAATTTTAGGTCTACCTCTACCTTTCTTAATATATGTCAGATTTAATACATCTACTCTCCTAATAGGATCATCAAAAGGCAAACATCTTATGTGATTTTTAAGCTAATACAACAACAACAACAAGCCTTTATCCCACTACGTGGGGTCGGCTACATGAATCCTTTCTCTCCATTGTGTCCTATTAAAAGTCAAATTCTCGTTTAAATCTTATAAATAAAGGTCATTCTCCATTATGTGATTTTTAAGCTAATATTAGAAATAAAATTGAAATATATAAAATGCATACAAGATTATAATATATAAAATAAATATATTAAATAACATATCAGTATTAATTTAGTAAATACTCTATATTTATAATTTATTACAAAAATCTAACAATATATATAATTACTTGTTATACACGGAATCAATTATGTAGACCAGAAGAGTAGAATGCAGACAAACAATCTAGGCTCTAACCACTACTGCATATAAGCAATCAAACAAGAAATCAATCCCTCATTGGAGGGTTGTGGCCCCCAGGAGAAGTCTTTGACACACTCGTCAGCAAATGAGTAAAAAAGAAGGACTTGGCAAGTCCAACCTACTTGGAGTTCAAAGAATCCTCTCTGACACCCGGTATGAAGTCATGTATTGGTAGCTCCTAGTTCTCCAGAGAAAGAGGCTCTTAGAGGTTAGAAATTTGAGGATGACAATGAGAAGAAACGTTTAAATGGCCTAGTATTTATAGATGTGACCAAAGACAACAAGGGGATTTACATATTTGCTTATAAGAGATTCTAATCAAGTAAAAATAGTTACACAATATGAGCCACAAGAGCATGCAGCATACTTTGGCATATGTTCTCTCAGGAGCCCTTTCGTAATACCCAATGAGTCCCTAAATCTATTAAGGGCAAGGCCACCACCCAATCTCAAATTATTATGCCAATGAATGAGATGCTTCAAGTGGATAACCACGGAGACCATAGAATTTGTCCTATCGGGGTCGGGGTAAAACAATTGGTAGGACTCTTGATGCAATGCTTTGTTGTCTACGTCAGCTTGCATTTAACCAATTTTGAATCAATTTGGGTGAGCATCTCTTTGTTCAAGCAAAGGGTAAGAGCATGACTTTTTGTCCAGGTAAGGTGTTTGACTTTCACCATTGAGTTTTGGTGATAAAAGACAGAATGCCAAGGAGAGGTCATGAGAAGCTAGGATCTTGGATAGAGAAATCTTTAGGAGCGACCTTGATCCCTACCCTCCTTCCTTCAAGTGAAACCACTAGGCTCCCTAAGTTTTCTAAAATCTTTGGCAGCTCAAAGTGATTTCTAACATTAATCGAGGTGGAAGAGAATTGAGAATTAAAATTCTCCTTGCAACCTAATTGCAAATAGGAGGCTTTTTGGACACCCTAAAATTTTTAGGGTATTTTTATTGCACTATTTGCGAGTGTGAAAGAACCACCCAAATAGGGGGTATTGCACATTTCTATTTCTCCTTTTATTATTGCCACTATAAAATAGATAAATGTCAACTAAAACAATTGACTGATATAATCGGACCGGTCGTGAGGGTTGTTTAGTATTTGGTGTTAATTTTATATTTTCTTTAAGTAGGAGTTGTACTAGGGTTAGGACATCTTTTTTGTGACTAATTAGAAGTGGTCGAATTTTTTCATCCCGAGCAAAATTAATGTGAGCGGTGACCCATAAGTAACTTTTGAACTTCTGTTGTGATCTTCCCTACAATCCTAGTCTAATGGCATATACAACATGTGAGGCTTCTATTAATTGACCCCAACAACATTTGTGGTATCTATGGCTTTAACAGCTCCTTCCATCTTATCGAGTGCCAATTGTTATCTTCTTCTCTGTTATAGGATTTTTATGACTTTAGAGAATGATTCTTTAGGTTTTTTTTTCTCTTGATCGATGAAAAGAAAATTTCATAGGGATTTATAATTATAAATAAGGATTTGAGGCATGTACAAATGGCTCAATTGATTCTTGAATAATATTCTAATTGGATGTGTTAATCCTGCAACTTTAAATAATAAATTCCTTAATCAAGTTAGATGCTTTGAAAAATTTTGAGATAAGGTATCTCGTTGCACAAGCGAAAGGCTTGCTTATTTTGGTGAATTGTATCCCTTCTATTATTTCATGTACTAAATTTTGTTATTGGTTCGATAGTTTGATTGATCTTAATCAAGTTTGATACAATTTGATTTCTAAGAAGTGTGTGAATGTAAAAGCATTTGTGTGGCACTATGGCTTTCTCGATCCTGAATTTAAATAAGTAAATTCTAGTAGAAGAGCAATAAATTTTCATCTCAGTTAATTTTTATTATATTTTCAATTTATATCGAAGTTAACGAATTATTATTTAAGGATTAATAGTTTGAAAAAAATTTCAACTAAGAAGTTTGTGTGCTTTGTTGGATGACTTTTCCATATAAATTTGTATTAGAAATCTTAGACCTTGATGCATTCTAGAATGGATACATGATTAATCTCCTTTCTACTTCACTTTACTAGAATAACAATGAACAATGCCATCTCCTCCACATCAAATCCTACTCAAGGCACTTTTTCCTCCCCATGCCAACTACAGCTTATAGAGTTTTTTTACAAGATCAAGCTCACAAATGAGTTGAATTGAAACTATGGTGATGAACTACACCAAAACTCTAGCACCTCAAGCTCAAGCTTTGGCGTTGAGCTTGTTCAAAGCAACTCAAGCTTAAGTAAAGCTCAAAAACATGACTCAAAACTCAACTGGATACATACGTCCTTATCAATTGTATATTAAAGTAAACATATACATTCAAAAAATTAAATAGGAAAAGCAAGAGGGAAAAAAAAAATTAATCAAGGAAGATTGCACAAATGCTTATAATGACAATTTGCTGGTGGGCAGGATTGCAGGAATGGGCATAGGGGGCTGGTTAAAGAATAATTTAAAGTAAAAATGATACATCATGCAGAGTAAAAAGGGCTTTATGTTATATCCAAAACTTCAGGTATGCTTTATATATTAATAAGAACAAAATTCTAATTCATAAACCTAACTAAATCATAATCATAATCTAGAACTCATATTCCTTGTCATGGGCTGCACAGTGTAATAGTTCTAACAAAACCCGAAAGGCAACCCCTTCTTTATTCACCTTCTTTCTTTACATGTTTGAGTTTCCTCTAGTTGATGCAACCATTCATGTCAAAGTTGTTCCACAAGAGCAATCATCGCTTTGCATTAGCCCAAAAATGCCTGCTGCACTGCAAACGAGAATACTCGTCATTGCTAATTAACTTAAGTGCCTATACTATTGTTGCCCGACTGCTTCCACTGATAGCTCAAGGTCTTACTATAAGGTTCGCCATTCTCAATTTTGCATTATTGCAAGTAAAACGAGCAAATGGGGACAATTAAATGCATACAATAAAAGAGGCAGGCACTCATGATTTCAATAATCAACAGTTATTTACCTTCCTTCATTTCTAATAAATTTTCTTGTTAGTGCAATAACAACATAGAAATATATAGACGTATATTTCTCTTACACAAAAACTACTATTAGAAAGACCTTTTTTTTATTAGATTTAAATGAGAATTTGACTGTTAAGAGGAAACAATGGAGAAAAATAATTCATGTAACCGACCCCACATAGTGGGATAATGGCTTGCCGTTGTTGTTGTTATAAAAAAACTACCAAATTTCATATATCTGGTCCTTAATCCACTAACGCATACTAATCCACATAGGTCAGCATCTAACTCTAACTCTATACTTCATGGAAAAGAGCCAAATGATGAATATGTGACTTGAAGTTTTTAGATGGAACTAATCATTAAAGAGCACAGGTGCCAAACTTTGACAAGTTCCTTCTGCAAAATGAAAGGTATTGGCACCTGCACTGAGCCAAAATCAAACTATCACCAACAATTGCCAGCACACCATTGCATGGAAACCCAAATGACTATAGACAACAATATCTAAAACCAAAATGAAGGAAACATTTGTAATTAAAGTAATGCAGCACTGGAATGTAAAAGTCAAGATTAAATGAAAGTGAAATTTAAAATTTTAAAAACATCTTACACGCAAAACAAAGGTTTAGTTTAATGATTATTGTATGAAAAATACAGGGAAAAGATTTGCACCTCACGATCCATAAGCATGTCCATGAGGCGAATAATACCATGAGGGATGGAAAGAATAGCTTCTTGTAACCTAGGAGGGTAAGAAAAGCAACGGAAGAATCCAAAAATGCGCTGATGCTAATCAACAACAAAGCATAATGGGTACATGACAGGTAAATCTTACCTATTGGGGGAATGTGTGAGAAGAGCCGTCAAAAGCTGGAGTGTATAATACCGGACATAGAAATCATCTTCTGACTGCCAACATTACAACAGATACGGACCGCATAAATAATAGCAATGCAGAAAAATGGAAGTCAAGGAAAAAATAAAAAGAACTTACCAACAAGCTGAGAAGAAGAGAAATACTCTCTGATTCACGGGAAAGGAGGTCAGCATTCATTGAAGCTGGTCTAAGCTCATTCTTCTGTCCCATTACTGCTTCAATAGGTGTGATTGCGCTTACTAGAGTTTCCAGAGCACCTCGAATGATTTCAGTATCATCACGTTCTTCCTTCAACACAGACAGGAGTACGGGAAGACCTGTAAGAAAAAGAAACATTTAACATGTTACATAGAAGTGGCTTTAAATATAGTACTTTACATTACAAAAAAGTAAATAACAACTCACCCATCGCACCAAATGCCAACTGAGCAGAGCTGCTTTCTGCAACAACTTGCTGCAGTTCAGTTACAGCAGAACGCCTATCCTCAGCTAAAACACCATTGTTTACTCGGTCCAGTAGTTGTTCAACGTGGCTGTTATTTAGAAAATTAATGGAATTTAATTTCTTTTAGAAAGAAATGCAATAACACATTTGAAGGATATGAACCAAGTGACATACATTCCTATCTCAACTCTTACGAAGCATGTACTACATCTAACAGTGAAATACATCTTAGGTTATATTCTCCTCAAAATCTGGTATTATGAAACTGATCATCTTCTTCGCTGTCAATGAGCATTGGGGGGAACACTTTTTGAGTAGGTATGGAATCCATATAAGAGAGAAAAAAAAAAGGTGAACAGAAATTTTCACTAACCACCCAGAATATTACAGCAGTGGTCTTATTTATAGTTCTCAGTCCTTAGAACTGGACCAGTTTGACTACTAGATGGGCTGGTTTGGGTTTAAGGGAGAAAACGGAATAAAAAAACCAAGCTAACTGCAATATGTATATATATAAACTAAATATTATTTAAACTCATTCCTGCAGATGGAAATCTCTGTCACGCTAAACTGCAGCTAAGATGTTCATCTAAGCTAGAAGACAAGACTGCAGCTGGAACTTAAAAATAATAATAATAAAAATAAATAAATAAATAAAAGACTGCAGCTGGAACTTCGGCAGCCTCTTTGTGTGAAACTTGACCTATATTAAAAGCTTTCCTTCTGCAGCTATATGCTCGGATGTGTATTGTTGTCGTTGGAAGGTTCTTCCTTATTTCTTACCCAATCTTCCCATTTATTTTGTATTATAGTGGAATCTAACAATATAAGCTGTTGCCCAACACTCTTGGCTAATTAAGAAGCATTGGAGAACACCTTTACGGTAGGTGCAGACTCGGGAAAAGAGAGATTAAAAAAAAAATAGAAATTTTTATTACCCACCCAGAACATTACAGCAGGGGTCTTATTTATAGTTATCGGTCCCTAGAGCTAGACCGGTTTGGTTACTGGATCAGCCAATTTGGGTCAAAGGGAGAAAACTGAATAAAATAAACAAGCTAATTACATTAAAATATATAATTACTAAATATTATTTAAACTAATTCCTACAGCTGGAAATCTCTATCTAGGCTAAACTGCAGCTGGGATAATCGGCTAAGCTGGAAGACTGCAACTGGAACCTTCTGGAGCCACTTTGCATGGACCTTGAGTCCTTGACCTATATTAAGAACTTTCCTCCTTTGGCTATATACTCGGATGTGTGTATCACTGTCTTTGGAAGGTTCTTCCTTAGTCCTTACCTAATCTTCCCACAAACTTTGTATTATAGTTGGAACTGCTGACTGCCAGAATCATTTGAAAGTTTAAACACACCGAAAGCACTATCATAACTATAAATATCCACTTTCAGTATTATTTCATTTTGTAAATACAGACATAAGTAGAGAAAGGTAATAAAGATGACCACGGCTTTTCATAAACTGAGCTGATTGAGATCTTGAAATATAATAGCACTTAAATTTGATTTGATTTGATAGAAAATTTGCATCCTAAGGATAACACCGGTAGTTACTTTGCATTCACTTCATTAATAAATGAAAATTTTTAATTATTTATGTGAAAATCTTCTTCCATTTCTATAATGATGATGAGGTGTTTCCATTTCAAATATTATGTCTATAAATTTGCCATCCACATGGAAGTGGTCTTCGCAATAGAACAAGCTTCCACCCAACTAAGTACATCCAATGTGCTTTTTCTTCAACCCCAATGAAATGGATTTCTTCTGTGCATTGTTTCCTTTTTTTTGCTAAACCAACTTGCAGTTGTGAGTTAAAGATTGTAGCTTTTGCCAAAGCATTCCTCTTCTTGAGGAAAATACAATAGCTAGTCTTATCATTTACACAGAAAGATTTGTTCATCTGGTGTCCTCGCGTACTATCTACTAAAGTTTAGCCTTGGATTCCATTTATTTGAAAATTCAATTTTTAACTTCATTAAATAAGGGAAGTTTGACTTTTTATCCCTTTTAAAACATTGATTTGTACAAATATGCCCATTATATTTTTTATTTGGACAAACAACATCCAAAACTTGTTGGACCAAAATAATCCAAATGTCGGATAACCACTTTTATATGCGGACTACTTATTGGAGTCCTAAGCCTTTCGAAACAAGTTGAATACTCTAAATTCAAACTAGTTCAAACCTAATTTGAACCTTAGTTTAAAATTGATTCGAACATGATTCTAACCCGGTTAGAACATTGCTTCGAACCTAAACCAAACATTGTTCGAAAAGGCTTTCCTCGCTTGGTCTCTATTTCTTGCCCCTCTAGCACGAGCTCACACCCTTGCTCGTCATTGTTAAAACCTTTTTCCATGATGCATGCGCTCATCGCTAATTGCCCCTCATCTTCCAACTCTTTTGCCTCTTAGAGATGGTGTCTTTCCATAGACCCAACAACCCCAAAACAAAGGGGGGAAAATAGCTCAAAAATAAGTAAGAAATTAGAGCCTAAAGTAGAACCCTATTCAAAATGCCATCAATTTATTTTTCTCAATAAATTTACTCCTCGTCATCATTACTCAAAGACAAATTGCTAACATATGTTAAGTGTATTTATTTAACTTTAACGCATCAAGAATCATCTAACTTAATGGAAGAGTTCAATCCATAATTGCAGAAGAAATTGAATTCAAGTTGCATTTTTCTCATAAATCTACATAGCCTTCTATCATATTTCTCATAAATTTCAAGTACTTGTACTGATCTTCTCCCTACAACTAACTTAAAAGCACATGGAAACCAAAAAAATGCTCTCATTCTAATGTGGACATCGACCAGAGGTTCAGACATGTGTATCGCCGTAGACAGCGCAGATCGACGGCCGCGATTCAGAGTTTATATTTCTAGTTATTTATGTATTTCTTTTATGCATTTTTCTTTTATTTCCTATTGTACCCTTAGTATAAGCTGAGTCATGAGTGTAGCCCCGAGGGCAATAGAGTCATTGTATTTTCTTTTGTGTTGGGACCTATATATAGGTCATTTCATGTTGTATTATGGTGAATGATGATTGAAATGAAAATCTACTTTGTTCTTCTTTGTCTTCTTGCATGAGAGCTTGAAGAAGAGAGAGAGAGAGAGCTCCAAGGGGAGCAAATCGCAAGGCTCACCAATCGTTGGAAGAGTCCTCGATTCGTGGTTAGAATTTTCTATCTTTTCGATCATGTTCCCATCCATCTCCTTTCCCTCTTCTCCACAAGAAATCCCTCTCCTCATATTGCCTCCGCCCCTGTGAGGAACCCGCCGCCGACCACCACCCAAATTCCGGCCGGCCACCTTGCCGGTGACGCCCCCGTCATCCACCCGACCCCTTCCATCCACAAGGTTCAAATTTGAAATTTCAAATTTCGATTCTTTCCTAATTTGGAAATCCAATTTAGGAATGTTTTCATGAAGAGATTTAATTTCAATTTGAATTAGATGGGAGTTATGATATCAAGTGCATTTCATCACCCAAATTTGGCCTCCCACACCTCTTCCTCCCCTCTTGTCGCAAGGATCCTCCATCATCTTCACTTAAATCTCCTCCTCTTGAAGAATTCCCCAACATCAAGCATGCATGGCGGATCCGGAGTTTGAGTGGGGATTAGTCTTCAACGCCGACGGAAGTATTAACATCTTGCGATCGCCGTGCTTCGACGTAGGATTTGAAGACGAAACCACCGTGGAAGAGTACTTGGAGAGAGTCGTCCCGATCCTTGCAAGCATCTACGACCGACAACTTTCAAAGTACACTTGGAGTCTCGAGAGCCAAGCATTCACGCCCTCCTCGTCACCGTCAACCTCTCCGTGGCTAAAGGCCATTGGTGTGGCCACCATCTTCGTGGCATCGTTGAGTTTGCTAAAGGCCTTCTCCCGCTAACCCGAATTGAGTGTGAGTGAGCAATGTACTCATTGTGAAATTTCTAAACATTAGCCGTGGGATTTTATTAATTTTCCACATTTGCTTTGTTGTGAACTTTTGGAGATTCATCATTAATTGTGCCTAAACACTAGCTTGAAACTGCTTATCATAACATTTCATCAATGGAAATTGCTTGAATCTTATTTTACGGAAAGCATAATCTTACTTTGGTAAACTTTGTGATTCTTAATGAATTTCATGTGCAATTCTTGAATGTTTCACATCACATTCTCTAGGCATAAAAAAGTAATAGACATACCGCAGTTATGTCCAAGTGCATCTCAGAATCAAAGCAAAGTAATTGTAAGAGTAAAAGCACTCTCTCAATAAGTGTGCTAAGCTCCTAAAGGGCAAAAGAGCTCCTAGGTTGCTTTTAATTTCCGTTCATTATTATCATTCCATTTTTAGCTATTAGCTCAAAATAATCAAAAGGAATTTTTTTCTTCCTGGCCCCTCTAACACTAACCATGCTTTGATCTAATTATTAATGTCATTTGTCATCTTTGTAAGTTACTCCTTCAATTTCATAGTTCATTTCCGTTGAGTTACCTGTTTAACTCCATTGTTTAACTCCATTGACTTACATTGCAAATTTGTCAATGTCGAATTACAGTACTTTCCATATTTCTTTTTAAATGTCCACACAACGATGTAGATTCAAGCGTTTCTTCCATGCTGGAATTGATTTATCATTTGTTACATTTGCATACACAACTATACTTATTTATATTTACAACAGACATGATGTTGATCTCTACTTAGTTTAAATCTATAGCTTTCCATTGTTTTCTACCATATAATCTATTGTGTTTAATCCCATGCTTCATGGATTATTATTTTCTTGGTTGGTCCTAGTAAAGCATGTAGGCAATTTTTTTTAAGAAAATTTTGCAGCATATATAAAACAAGACATCGAAATTAACAAAGGCCTGCATTTCAATGAATTAACCAATCACAGCACTTAATGCTTCGTTTTGAAGGAACAAAAATCTGATTCCATAAACTGAGTTTCTTAAATCTTAAATAATGAGGACGAGTTAGGTCCAGATAAGTATTACAAGAGGATAACATGTTTTGCAGGCTTGCATACACAGAATGGGTTAAACTCAAAAATGAAATTACAAATGGAAGTTCAATGTGAGCAAGCAAGTTTTGTACCATAGTTGCAACCCTAAATTGCAAGAACAAAATGAGATTTATTCTAATATGCCATTTTGCCACCTTACGTTGACAAACATCTTGCATTCTTTAAGAATTTTATACAAACAAAATTATAAATTGAACACAACCACTATCATCATCATTATCATTACCCTTATCCCAAAAATTCTAATGCAAAGATAACAAAATTCTACTTCTAGTTACTCTCCATTCTCAGCACGACTATAACTTATAGCAACCTTCTTTAGAAGCACAATAAAAACTAAGTTATTTAGTATCAAACAAATGATCACTTAGCACGAGGAAAAAGATGAAGTTATCAATTTGAGAAATTTATTCATATTAAAATAACAAAAAGAAAAAATTAGTCTTTGAGGATAAATCTATGAAAAAAAATTAAGTTTTACAACTTAGCACAAAAATTTTAAGAAGTTTACCTATCTTCACTGGATGTAGAATTGTCTCCCCAAAAGAGAAGACCACCAAGTCCCTGCACACAAGTCTCATGATTTGAAGTTCATTTACACATAGAAAAAAATACATAGTTAAGGTTTCATTGAAAGTGGATAATATGGCAAGTAATTGCATAGAAAACAGTAAGAAAACAAATGTTTTGCTAATAAAACATTGAAAAGAAAAAAAAAATGAAGTGTAAACAGTTTAAATGGAATGTTCATAGCTATGATGTATGACATAGATAATTTCAAATGAAAGACTTGAAAACAAAACAAGTAAAGAAAACAATCCTGCAGTTGGAAGATTCTATCGCAAGCTATTCATTACCAATGAGATTTCAATAAATCTTAACAATTTCAATTCAATACCATAAAAGCAAGTAATAAGAAAACCAAAATTTATATTCCATGATTGATTCATAGCAAGTTATTTTTTCAACTCCTATATTTCAATCTTAAATACAATGTTCACTTTAATGGGTTGCATTGTTTCGTGTGTGCACGTGCGTTTCGAGAGAGAGGGGGGATCGGGGCAACTCTTGTAATGTCCAGTAGTTGAAGTATCATAATGAGCTAGGTAGATTTTACTGGTTGAATCAATCATTTTATAGCTACTTCCATCGACAGCAACAGCCACCCTACACATACCCCAACTTGTCTAGGAGTTGGTAGAGAAGACATTGCCAAACAATAACCAACAAAAAATGAATAGTTAAGAAGGAAAAAATTAATTAATGAAATAAAAATCCACGGATAGTTGAGATAAGGTAAATAAGGTCATCAGAACAAAGTGATTTATGCTAATTAGCATTTAGCATGGAAGCACACAATATATAAAAGAGATAAGGTAAATAAATCCATCAAAGCAAATTGATTTATGTTCATTGGCATTTAGACATTGAAGCACACAATAGACAAAACAATTAAGAATAGACCAATACTTCAATGGTAGTTCCTTATGTCAGCACTAGACTCCACTCCTGAATTTAAAAGATGAATGAAACTTTATCTTATTTATAAGTGTGGCGATGAGAAAAAGAAAAGTTCTGATGGTTCACTAAAGAATTATATATTTTTACTGTCAAATAGCATATTGAACAGGCATCTTCACATGCTCAATTGTCATTCAATAAAAAAAGGAAAGGTTAGAACCATCATCTGCAATGAAAGCAGATGCCCTGAATCTATTAAGAAAAAGGGAAAAAAAAAAAAACATGCATAAAAAACAAGAGGCCGCATTCATGTTTAATCAAAGCAATTATCTAACATTTATTTTGCTGTGAATAGTCATGCAGCTTCTTGCATGACTTAAATACAAACATCACGTCAAGATTCCAGGTTCCAAGGTCACATGACATGGCATCTTGGAATACGATGACATTGTATCCATAGTAAATCAAGATAAGCAATTTGAAGGTCATGATGGTATCTTCACTAATATCAAAAGAAAGGTTTTTAATGAGATGAATAAGGAACAATAAACAGGAAACACAGAATTTATCATATTCTTCCAAGAATTTACTAAAGTTTCTAGTTTTGACCTTTGATAACCATATTTTTTCTATTTCCCATAAGGAGAATAAGGAATTACAAGTTCCTAAAATTTGCTTAAAGTTTCCAGCTTTTCTTGAAACAAAACTAGTCAACCAAAGCTTCAGTTCATTTAGAAAGTGCTTCTAATCAACAAAAAAGATTAGAGCATGCCAAGCAACTTAAACACACGGGACTTCAGAGCCAGGCTATCAATCCAAAGTCAACACCGTTTGGGTCAATGCTTAGTAGAGCTGATCTCAAGCTAGAATAAGATGGCATACATAGCTTGAACTATGTTCTAACTGAATACATAGCTTGAATTATGTTCTAACTGAATACCACAAACTCGCCTCATAGAAGAGCTGCATTGTACATTCGCTAACTATATATAGAAAAAAAAATTGAAGAACAGTAAACACAACAGAAATATTAATTACGACACACTACCGATGATATCCGGCGGCGTTGACTGTCCATGACCGAATATTGGAGGGCAGGGGGAGGAAAGCAAAATTGATCGGGAAACTAACAGAACTCCTCCTTGTAGGAAAGAAAGACAGTGAAAAGGGAAGCCGCAACGCGTCAGGGACAAGCTCAGAAGTACCCGAGTAGGGAAGATGTTCGGAAGCGATGGCTGTAGAAGCCGCGCCGCGATCGGAAAGGGCGTAAATCTGGATGCGGATGAGGACGACAGATCGAACCTGGTGGATTCAATCTCAGTGCCCGCTGTGGTACGACACCAATGACTTGCCAGACTTGGGAACGTAGGTTTGGGCCGAAAGGGCTTACAGCGAAAAATTTTATGATATGAGATTTCGATTAAATTTATTTGTAATATAGATTAGTTGCGTATTTTATTTATTTAAAAATAGATTAAAATTTTCTATGTTTTTTCTAATTATTTTTTATGAAAAAAATGACATAAATTTTTATTGATCCTTTTAAATACTCAACAATTTATTTTTTTTTTCAAAATAAATATTAAATGACCAAAATTTATTCTTACTACAAATATATTAATAACTTATGAAGATTTAATTCATTGTCTATAAGTTTATTAACCTTTTGCTCGATAACTTGCAAACGATCTAGTGCAAAAAAAAATTTTCTGTTGAATAGTTAATTTGAAGGAGGGATCTATCCAAAGAGAATGTGTGATCACTTCGGGATCAACCTCAAGCATGTCGGCCACCAGACAAATGTCTTGATTTTGCCATAAATAATATGTATATATATTATAATAATTTTCTCATCTGATATCAAAGAACCAATTTGTGCTACATATATGGGATGTGCATCTGATAAAAGCACATGAATTAATTCTTCTACGAGCGAAGCCCTTTATACCATATCTTCTTTTCAAATATAAAAGTTTTCAATACTCAAAGTTAATGCTCGTGATTGAGCTTGCCTGAGACAACAAATTTGAGCAACTTGTTGGTTTCCACTTACTTTGTCAACCCCAATTAGAGTTGGAAATTTTGTTTTATATGTGATGCAGAAGTGATAGCTCTAAAGATTGATTGCAAGGATATCCCAAATACAGCATTGTATGACAATTCTAGCTTAACTACTACAAACTGAATCATATGTGTTGCTTGTCGAGGGAATTCACCCAATGTCACAAGGGGTGTGATTGTGCATTTAGCCCATATCGATAGATTGTCAAATCCATATAATGATCGCACAGTTGGTTGGAGCTTTCTTTTTAACTAAACCTAGGTTGAGGAATATGGAGTAGAATAAAACATCAATGCAACTTTCATTATCAACAAGGATTCTCTTAAAATTATTGCATGGATGACTAATGCCAGTATTAATGACAAGTGAATCTTAGTGAGGAGTATAAATCCCTTCCATTTTAGAATCAATAAATATGATGGATTGATTAGCTTGAGATTTCTTCAGTGCTGGTTCTTCTAGGGTAGTGAGGAGAACTTGAGAAGACACTAGGGGTCCTTCAATAATGGTTTCAATTTTTTTGACCATTTGATAGTTACTTTGTTATTGTTACCTCCTAGTTGGATTAATTTTATTTTGAGCTTATAAGTTTTGAGTGAATGGATGAAGATATCTCTGTTAAATCAACATTTTAATATCTTCTTTCTATTGTTTGCAAGCTTCAGTAGTATGCTCATGACTTCAATGCTTGCAATAATACTCATGATTACTAGTAGGGGTGTCAATTTCGGGTCACGGGTCGGGTTCGGGTCGAACCCAAAACTGACCCACACTATTCGGGTCAACCCAAACCTGACCCATTTTTACAAACGGGTCAATTTTTGGGACCCGAACCTGACCCGCTTCGAGTTCAGGTCAACCTGGCCCGACACGGATTTGAGCGATTTTCTTGAAGAAGCGCGCGAAGATACCTGGCAAACGGATCGTCGGCAGACACGACTACTGGTGGACCTTTGCACACGAAGATAGATGGCTTGATGCGGTGACTCCGTTTGCGGGCGTGCGAGGGCATCGATCACTGAATGGCGGATCCTTGCGCAAGAAACATTCCGGAATGCCCTATGGGCTTGAGCCTTGAGCTGCTTGACGTGGACGGCAAACCGAAGACGCGACAGACTCGAAATTCGGACCTGGCGGACGACGCGATGGATGGACGCGGACGTGAATGACGCGAACCTGGGTCAAACCGGATTCATTTCCGGTTTCCGGGTCAAACCGAACCCGACCCGGTTTTACAAACGGGTTGAAATCTCTAACCCGAACCCGACCCGGTTCAGGTTTGGGTTGACCCAAACCCAAAATTTTTGTGTCGGGTTTGAGTCGGGTTTTCAGGCCGTGTCCAATATTGACACCCCTAATTACTAGTATTTGACCTTGATGGATTAGACCACTTAATATTTTTCTCATTTTGAATAACCATTAGAATATTAATACGAGAAGTATTTAAGGGAGCATACTCCTTCGTTGGCTTATATTCATGATTTTGCTGAGAAGGTTAAGGTGAAAATCTTGATTTCTTTATTGATCATGCTTCATTTGTTGAGACTTTTGGGGCCCCTCCTTTATGTCCATTATTTCTCTTATTAGAAGTTTTTTTTTTCGATAAACATTAATAGTCTCTTTAGTAGTAATTTGTTCTTCTACTCTATGAATATGGTTAGTATACAAATGGGCGGTCTCTCGCATTAACGAGAAGTAAAATGGTCCATGATAAAGTTTTCCAAGAAAAATACATCACAGTAACTCAAGATCCACTCCTAAGATTTGACAAACTTCAGAAATTTTTTTTGTTTGAAAAAATCCTTTTAAGGATTCTTCTTTGTTCAGGTGGATTTCTAAGAGATGTGAGGAATCATTAATAATTCTTTAGTTGGAATAAAAAAATGTTCGACAAAAGTCTCATAAGATAAATGAAATTGTGGATTGTGTTTCTAGGGAGAGAATAGAATCACGTGCGATCGTGACCTTTGAGGATAACATGAAAAATTTAATATAAAATGCATTAGAAGCTCATTGTATATGCATGATGATCTTATAATAATCAATATGTTCATAGGGATCATATGACTCATCATAGGGATTAATATTGACTAATTTGAACTTTGCTAGGATAAGATGTTGGAGAATTTCAATTGTTAGGGGTGATGAATCTTGAAAGTTGTGTTGAGGATTAAATTGATTTCTATCTTTGATTGGAAATTCTTTTTAGATAAGACATTGTAACTCATCTTGTACAGTATCATGAGGAGTATTTATAAGTTGAGGTTGACCCAATTCCAACAAAACAAATAAAGGGTTTTACATTTGGCAAGCTCTGAGAGGATGATGAATCAAAGTTGTTGCATCATCTACTTCTGGATTTGACTGTAGAGGAGGCAGAACATTATCACGATCGTGAGGGAATCCTTCTTGAGCATCTTTAAATTGTCCACTCATATTGTGATGAAGATTGTGGGAGGGAACTCTATTATTTTGTGATGATACCCTTTATTGACAGGCCTCTTTCAATAATTATAAAATATTTGTTTGTTAATCTTTCATCCTTTGAATTCGAGTTTCTAAGGTTAAAGGTCAAGGCTTCCCTCTTGCATGACTATGATGTCCATAATTATCAAATAGATTCTGCTACGATGAGTGTAAGAATGAAAAAATATGTTATTTATATAACTTCAATCATCCATTGAAGAAGTAAGTTGGGAATGAACTTTTCACAGACGGCGTTAAACTATTATATGATAAAAATTTTGAGTTGGTAGTGTCTATGTTTACGTCTCACCGTTGTACAAAAAGTCAGCACATACATATAAAATTAGTAAGATCGATTTTTTTTTGTGTGGAAGGCCTAGAAAAGGGAAAATCTTGTGGCATGACCTAATTGAAAAATCCATTATATAGTAAGTGATACAAAAATCTTCTCTTTTTCAACTATGAAGAAAGAATGATTTTTATATCATTTACTATATAATGAATTTTTTAGCTAAACCAAACCTCATGATTTTTTTTTTCTCTTAATTCGATTTTACTATGCATGCTTTTTTTCATCCAACCAAAAGACCCTTTAAATGACCTAAGGAAAAAAAAAAAAATTTACTCCTAAAATAATTTGTATTTAAAATACAGTATAGATTTCCAAATGATCTTATTTTCAGAAGAGACCGGACGGGCTCAGACCCAGTGACGACAAGCCAGACCACTTCGCTCTCGGGCGAGACCGTCGCATCCTTCCCAGCGAAACATCTCCGACAAAATCACCGCCGGAGGGAGAAGAAGTTTTATCCGGTGCTTCTACTACCTCTCGATGTAGACGATTCCTATTTTCCATCCTCGACGTTCTTTCTCTCATTCACGGAGTTGCTCCACAGCTATTTCGGCTTGGGTTTATAATTTGTCCGCTCACTTGTTCGATGTAATTCCTCTGACAGAATCGTGCTCTTTTGGCCAACAGATGGGATGCACTCTACCTGAAAAGGCCGGGTTTTGCAGGCGGCGCTATCTGCTCGACAAAACTGTCGAGATATACATCTGGGGTTTTTGGCCAGCAGATGGAATGGGCGCTCCACCGAACTATCGGGTATTCTAGGTTAAGGCGTCCGTTGCTGTCTTATTCCAGGTTACAGATTGTTCTATTCTGCTCAATTGGAACTCTAAACCGCAATCATAAGCCCAAAGTTGACAATGTTCTCTCGAGCTTGTTTGGGAGACCAAAACCCTCCTTTGCCGAGTCTTATTTAAGGCTCACAACTGCTTTGCAGTCCGGTAGATGGTCCAAGGAAGTGGAAATGGAGCTTCAGAGCATCGATATTGTTTTGAATAACTACGCAGTCAATCAGGTACTCAAGGGTTTACCGAACTCTGAAATTGGCTTCCACTTTTTTCTATGGGCTGAAGCTCAGCCGGGTTTCAAGCATGACCACTTCACCACTAAGTCAATGATCTGTTTACTTCTGGAAGATCAAAGCTTTGATCTTCTGGCTGTTATTCTGAGAAAGTTACGTGATGATGGGTTCACGCTGCACCGTTCTATATACAGAATACTTATATCTGGGTATGTCAAATGTGGTTTGCTAAGCTTTGCTTTTGAAGCATTTGATGATATGATTGTCTCCGATTGTCGCGTATTTAGTGTAGATTACAATAAGTTCATAGGTGTGTTGATTAAAAACAGCTGTTTTGATTTAGCTGAGAAATACTACAATGAGATGATCCAAGAAGGATTTACACTGAGCTCATTTACCTATTCAAAATTCATTTCTTACTTATGTAAGGCTGGGAATCTTCAATTCGTGGAAAAACTTTTACTGGACACTGATAAGAATGGGTGTGTGCCATACATTTGGGCTTATAATATATACTTGAAGTCTTTATGTAAAGAGAAAAGATTGGATGATGCTGTGAACTTCTTGGAGACTATGTTTAAGCAAGGAAGAAAACCTGATCTTGTTAGTTATACAACAATTATCACTGGCTTATGTGATACCAAAAGATTCACCGCTGCGGTGGAAATTTGGGATGAAATGCAGAGAAGTGGCTTTAAGCCGGATGTTATCGCCTGCGGTTCATTAATTTTTGGTTTGTGTCGTTTTGGGAAAGTTGATGTTGCTTATGAAATACTGATGGAAGTCATCAAGAATAAGTGTGAGTTGAGTGTTTCAATTTACAATGCTGTTGTCAATGGGTTTTGCGTAGCCGGCAGAGTTGATAAAGCAAAAGCAATCATGTCCTTGATGAGAAGAAACGGGTGCAAACCTGATCTGGTTACATGCAACATACTTTTGAATTATTGGTGTAACAATGGAATGCTTGATGAATCAGAGAAATTGATCCAATCTATGGAAAATTCAGGGATTAATCCTGATAGCTACAGTTACAATCAACTACTGAAAGGTCTTTGCAAGGCTAAACAGATTGAAAAAGCTTATAAGTTGTTTGCTAATATGATGGAGATGGAAGGTCTGTGTGATATTGTATCTTGCAACGTCCTAATTGATGGTCTCTGCAGAGCCAGAAAGACATCAATTGCACACAAGCTGTTCAAGGGAATGAGTCTTAAGGGGATACAACCAGATACAGTAACATATGGCACTCTGATTAATGGGTTTTTGATAGCTGGAAATGTTGAATTTGCAGAGGAGCTTTTCGATCAGATGTTCAAGGTTGGCGTAGTCCCCAATGCTAATGCATACTGCATTATGGTACACCACTATTGTAAGACTGGCCGAATTGGACTTGCCTGCAGTTACTTCGATGATATTATTAAAGGGGGGATCTCTCCTGATGTAGTTTCATACAGTGCACTTGTCAATGGACTTCTCAGAGCTCACAGAGTTAATGAGGCCATGGCTCTTTATGAAGATATGTGGAGCAGGGGTGTAATTCCTGATGATGTCACTTACAAGTTGCTTATTGGTGGACTTCTAATGGAAGATAAGGTTGCTCTGGCCCATATGATTTGGGATGATATGATGGAGAAGGGCTTTACTCTTGACAAGACAATTTCTGAAAGATTGATAGAAGTGACAAAGTTGAAGGAGTCATCTACCAATGATCACAAAGAAGGTATGGTTTTTAGGTTAATGCTTATCAGATTTGACTTGTAGGTAGGGGTTTAAATATTTGACACGACCAAAAAATCCGACTCGAACCCGACCCAAAAATTTCAGGTTAGGGTCAACTCGGATCCGAAACGGGTCGGGTTAGGGTTCAACAATTTGAACCATTTCAAAAACTGGGTTGGGTTAACCCTTCGACCCGAAAGTGACCCGAAATCCCGTTTTTGACCCAAGAACCTGAGATTGACCCGTTTTCGACCCATTTTGACCCAAAAAGCGGAGTTTGACCCGTTTTTTGACTCGAAAACTAGCAATTTTTTTTCACGGTCCCGAGTCATTCGGGTCGTGACGGGTTCGGGTCCGAAAAATTAACCTGTTTGCAAAACCGGGTCGGATTCGGGTTGACCCAAATAGTGCCGGGTCAATTTTGAGTTCGACCCGAATCCAACCCGTGACCCAAAATTGACACTCCTGCTTATATGCAATAAACTAGTAGGGCTAATGTCGGCCTCACTTTCTCAGTGCTGGCCAGTCTGGGCTACCCGAGCTCCTACAATCATGCATGCACCAGCAAAATCGCTCGGGTGTTGATGACAACACTCTAGTTTTCATAGACAATGGTCCACAACTACTCATCATCTTTTTCTCCCCATTTGTTTTTGTTGTTCCCTATATCTATTAGCATTCATTGCATTTCAAAAATCTGCATTATATAACACTTGGATGGGTTGCATATTAAAGATGACCCAATTGATAGTTTAAATTTGGTCATAACTAATTTCATCTGTGAGACTGTGATATTAACAAATTCTGTTTATGGTTCATCCTTGTTGCAGCATTTAGCAGGTCAAAAGTCGACCTTAGAAAAAGCAAGCAACTTTATGAGAAACAGGGTTCATGAAGACGAGTCAGCCTCATCCACAGCAGGATTATTATTTTTCTTTAGTTTGAAGCTGAAGGATCTCAAGGTTTGAGCTCTGAACCCCACACTGTTTGATAACTTGGAACTTATTTGATTTAGGGCTTCATAACATAACTAACAAAAATTTCGCTGTACATTTGTATTTCCAGAGTCAGATCTGTTGATTTAACTTATTTACAAATTGTATTGTAGTTCTTGAAACTTGCATTATTGGAATCTATGCAGATCCTTTGTTATTTGAACAAATTTCAATGAATCTGATTTTCCTTGCAATCCTGTGTCTATTCTGCGTGTTAAAGAAGCAGAGTACTATTTTCAATATGTTATTACTTATTACCATTATGTTAAGCGCGACTGTATTCATTCAACCTTCCTAGCTATTCACCATTTCTCAAAGGAAGCTCTCATTTGTTTTTTTTTTTCTAAACGTAGGAAAGAATATGGATGATCCTTATTATGGTCTAAACTCCTCTTCAACACTCAACTCTTAGATAATGATGCTCTTTGTGGACATCCTTCCATAGTTGCTTGCTAGTGATTAGAGTGGGATGATGGGGCCTAGGATTACTGATGTGATCAATTGGTGGATGAGAGATTCTTTTAAAATAATTAGAAGAATTAAAGTTAATTTGGAGTAGTTAATTTGAAGGTGGAGGTAAGGTAAGTCATAATTTCAAAGTAGGAGTTCGAGGAGATCACCCAATCTCCTTGAGTAGTAGGGCACCAAGCCTCCAAACAACTTGGAAATTTTTTTCAATATGCATATATTAATAGCACTGATGACATTGACATACACATTAATATTATTGACCACATTGAATATATTGATAATACATAAATAGATGATGCATATGAATAGATAAGATAAATTCATTTAGTAATTTATGAATGATTTTTGCATCGTTATTTTACCGATTAATTGCATTCAAAATACATTGACAACTAAAATGAGGTTTGAGTTATTTACAACAAAAAAGAAGAAATATATGAAAAAAATTGACGGATGAAAAAGCACGAACAACATTATCTCTCTTCCCTCTATCTTCTCTAACAATGCACAATGTTGAAATTCAAAATTTTCATTTTAAAAAATCATTTTAAAATTGAATTATTATAATATACCCACCTTAGAAAAATGTAATCTCCGATTTTTCCCTTAAGGATTTGGACACAAAATCAATATAAAAAAATCGGTAAAATCAAAACTCAAATCAAATCGAAATAAACAACAAATCAGAACTCATCAAACTCGATCAATTAAATGCATAAATGACAAATTTATACTACCCAACTTCTGCCACACTCATAAATCAATTACTATTTTTCTGGTTACAATCTAATTCTTTCAAAAACAGCTTTGATACCAATTTGTAACGCCTCAAAATCAAATTTGGAGGAATTATCTATTTATCATTTTGAGAATATACCAGAGATTATATAAACCATCAATATAAATAATAACCAGCGAAATCAACTAAAATCATACACATCAAGGTATTTTTGTTATTCATTCATCAAAATATCATTTACACTAGCCAGTAGATCACAACAATTATTATTCTATCACAAGCTCATAACTACAAAAGTATAAATAAAATTGCAGAATAAAATCTAAAGAAATTTAAGGATCTCTGTCAACCTTTAAAGATGGTTTGTGGTGTTATCCTGATTGTAACATGTAACAAATGATCGATTACGTTGATGGACAGATAGTGACTACTCTTTATTGATTTAATGAAGCCACATGTAATGATAATTGATTAATTGAATACATGATAGTTGATATGACTAATGACCATATGAGAATCAATTAGGGTAAAAAAAGTTGAAAACACCACATTAAAATTGGATGTCATGCCTTATTAAATCATACATTGATGCATGCATATATTGATAGCATTGATGACATTGATAGATACATTAATATCATTGATATTATTGGATGCATTAATGATACATATGAATAGATAAGATAGATTTTTTTAGTGATTTATGAATTATTTTTGCACCGTTATTTTATTGATTTATTGAATTTTTACTTATTCTTGTGATAAATTAGTGATTGTATTGATATCTTAGTTAGTATAAATGATATTTTTGGTGAATGAATGACAAATTTTTTTTATGTATACGATCTTAATTGCTTTCGTTAGTTATTGTTTACATTGATGATTTATAGAAACTTTGATATATTCTTAAAATGATAAATATACAATTCTTCCAAATTTAATTTTGGGGCGTTACAACATGTATTTTCCCCAACCAAATTAAATCTTTGAGTAATAAATTAATAGAATATGATAAATGGGGAATAATGCTCTTTGTTAGTTAATGTGGATTCATATTTATTTTCTTAGACAAACATACCCCATGTCTAAGAACCCTTGGACGAAGCAACTTATGGTTGCTGACAAGGATATTTCGGTCAAGTTGGGTTGATTACCTCATTTGACTAAGTAGACTAGGGACCATGATAATCGGGGACGAAAAAATCATGAGATTTTGATCAGGTCTATCATCATTCCCCCAAATATCCACTTTAAGCGAGAGATGGTGAATTTCTAGTTTTAAATATTAAATTTTCAAATATCAAATCATGCTGCTATTATACGTCAGATACTATGTATCTATTTGATGACTAGTCTTAATCAAAAGTTTTATCTCGCTATCAGAAGGGGTAATAACTATAGGGACTTGTGCTTATAGGAAACATGAACTCAGATCATAAAATCATTTTTGGAGCCGATATTATATGCTCAAAATTATTATTTGAATAATTAGATAACTGTTATGCACTTATTACCTTTCATAGTATGCATTTAATTGATTTTAAATATTTAGCAAAATATTTAATAAAAGAATTTGATAATTTAGATCAGTTTGTGTGGTTTGCTGAGCTGTTGTAGCTCACTGTGGTTTTGTTTTTTGTTTTCAGGATTTGGGAAAGGGAAGAAGCTTGTTGATTATCAACTTAGAATCTGATATGAGTTTATATGTATTTTTCTGCTTTGATTTTTGTATAGTCATGACTAGTTAATTATTTAGTTATGTAATTTCTGTTTATAAATATGTACTGTATACATTTTGATGAAATGAAAGAAAACTTGTAGATGTTTTAATAACTTTGTTGTATGTTATTTATTTAAAATAAACTTAAGAAGAGAATATGAAACATTCTAAAACTAGATATTAGGATTTGCTGTCACAGCTTAACACGATAGAAATATTGTTTGGTCAGATTGTGAGACAAAATACATTTAATTACATTTGGATCAAGTTTTCCTCTACTTTGAGGAAATGTATGCGCTAAGGCCACACTTTCAAATATCTCAAGAGCAAGGTTATTTGAGGTGTTGAAGTGAGAAAATAATTTAGCTATAACTAGGGTAGGACTCTTAAACCTAAGGACCCTTGTAGGTCATCAATTTATGATATAAGCAATTACTAAGACAACTTTACTCCAACTTTATTTTATAACATTCTTTTAAACATGGAGAGCCCCTATGGTAACAAGTATGTGGTCATTCTTTCATTCAATTTTCCTATTTTATTGATATGTGTATGCTTAAGGGGGCTTATGTATTATTTTATTTTATTATTTTTTTATAAATATGAGGGGAGAGAATTTTAAAAAAGTTTTTTTTTCATTGTTAAAATTGACTCTTAATTTTAACATAGAATTGATTTTTTATATGAAAAAGATCCACTAATGCATTAATGAATGACAATTTATTGAGCCATAGATATATTAGGTGTTCTCATATGTCACCATAAATGAGATAAAAAGAACTTTTCTGATTGGACTTCGAAACCCATATAATATGGAGAATAATAAAAGAAAGTTCTTTATTATATTTAATAGTTAACAAAAAAAAGATAATATAATAGATAGTTTGAAATTTTTTATCATTAAATTCCTTAAAATCTAATTATATTTATCATTGAGGTAGCATTAAGGCTTCATTTGGGACGTCTTTTTTATTTTAAGCAGCTTTTTAATTCAAAATTTTCTTAAACTAAAAAAATTATACTAAAAAGTTGCTTCAGAAAGCAGTAAAAAGGCTGTCCCAAATGTAGCTTAAGTGATGTTGCGGGCTAGAATATACGCGGTGATAGAGTTAGAATACTACGTCTTAGCGTTGCACGGATATCTAGCTCACACACAGAAAACACAAAATTTTTACGTGGAAAGCCCTAAAAAAAGGGAAAAACCACGAGGCCTAGCCTAGTTGAAAATGATTCCACTAGAATTTAAGTAAAGTACAATGATCTTGCTCATCCTTGAAGACGACCAGATTATAAATGTCAATTGAAAGTTTCACGTCAGTCCAACGTCAGGTGGTGGTCTGGTAGCACTATGATGTCAGTCGGTGATCCGGTAGTGGCACTTCAGAGTCAGGGGGTACTCTAGCTTCGGGTGGCTCTTCGATGTCCATCGATGGTCTGATGGTGGTTTGACACTACTCCAGCGTCCCTTGGTGGTCCGGCGGTGGTGCGGCAGAACTCCGACGTCCCTTGGTGGTTCGACGGTGGTGCGGTAGAACTCCGACGGTGGTGCAGCAGAACCCCGGCGGTGGTCGAGGAGGAGCTAGGCTATTAGAGTTTTCCTTCTTCTCTTCCTTCTTCTCTCTTGGCTCCCCCCTTTCAAGAGGAAATGGGGTTCTTTTTATAGAATTCTTGAGCGGTATGACTTGTAAATAAGTGGGAGATCAAGGGTAAATTAGGAGTGGTTTGGATGGACGGCCGATCTTGATTCCTATGATTGTACACCGTTCAATAGACCTTTGATTGTCTTAATGATATCAGAATTTGATGATCTTGAATTCTGATTGTACACCGAGCTCGTTGGATTCGTCTCGTCGAACCATTTGATTCGATTATAAGCATGTCACAATTGGAGACCGTTTGGAAACCCAAATTGTGGTTAAATTCTTCTAAAAGTGTTTCAAGTCTTTGATTTGGACTCATTTGGGCTCGAATTGGGTCGATTTTGGTGTCGTGTTTCCGAGACGCTCGGTTCGATTGTAAGTTTGCTGAAATCGGAATTCGGATGATCTCCGATTTAATTTTTGAAATTTCCAACTTGATTTTGCCTCGAGATTCGGCTAGATCAAGATAATTTTTTGATGATGTATCAAGTGAATAAAAAAATGTGGACTTCTAGGCTTGATGAAACATTAACAGAGACTAATTACAAAGATTGATTTTTTTCACAGGAAGCAATACTACTCATTTCTTAATAAAAATAATTTTAATAATTCATAGGCCTCTCATATAGGTTGATTGAATAGCACTTACAACTCAAGACCCTTGTAATTAATTACACTAATTGATAGCCGTTGTTTTATCAATCAATTTAGATATAACATACATCAATATTGGAAGCCAAATGCCTCTCCCAAATGATACCATTGGATTCATCTAATCGAATCACATTAAGGCTTTGTTTGAGACGGCTTTCTTATTGGTTCTTAAAGCAGCTTTTTAGTTCAAATTTTTTTATTTTTTATATTAAAAAATTACTTTAAGATGCGGTAAGAAAATTATCTCAAACGAAATCTAAATTTGTTTGAATATATAACTTAGATGACTCATATGCGCTTTGGGATCTAAAAAATATAAAAACTTAGGTTAGATCAAATAAGTTGTGAATGAAGAATATATTATTGTGCTATAAAAAAATGCATTGAAAGATTTACATATACGTTGATTATTACCTATTAGAGTATTCTGTACATGAACCTTTCTTGAGCCCTAGGACTCAAGACCATCTCCAACCGAAAATGTCATTTTTCACTCTAAAATGCAGGGAAATAAAAAAATGATGTGTTTCCATCTCCAATCCAACGCCATTTTGCCGCTAAAACAGTCGTTTTCTTTTGCGCCTTTCTTCCCAACTTGTTCGGTAGAGAGAAAAAAATGGCGCAGATGAACAGTGCGACGCCAATATTGGCGTCGCACTGTTCATCCGCGATCAAATGGCGTCAAAAATGACGATCGGTTGGAGCAAAGCAAGAACGGCAAACAAGTGTGTTTGCCGTTCGGTTGGAGATGCCCTCAGCCCACCACAATGATGAACTAATATGAACATAATCTATAGACAATGAAGATTTTGAAATTTAATAAAGCTTTATGTCATCCTAACCGTTACTGCATTCAAATAACCAATCAATCAATCTCGTGATCTTCAGGTCGAAATCATCAGCTTCTCGCCGGAGTGATCAACTCCACTCCGTCATGCCCGCCAACAGCCGGAGGCGGCATCCACTGCGGAGTCCCAGACTGCGGACTCGCAAACTCCGACGATGGAGGAGTCTCCGTTCCCAGGGCAAAACTAAAGGGGCTCTCAGAACCAGCTCTGGCGTCCAACTGATGTGAAATCCCGGAACTGCTCCGTCCTCGGAGATCAATGGAAGCTTCACCAGACTTGTTGAAGGTATGGCTGGAAAGATCTTTCCCATCGTAGAGCGTAGCGATGGAGCTCAGCCTCCTCGTTAAGGTCTTCTCTTCTGCGTTAATGGCCGCCAAAGAGTGGCGGTAGCGGTAGCAAAAGGAGAGGGAGTAGATGAGGAGAGCGAGAAGGGAGGCTCCGCCGGTGACGAGAAAGAGGCCGTAGAAGCTATTGAAGTCGAGGCTATTGGAGGCGGAGATGGAGCTGCTGCCTTGGTTCAGACAGGATGATTGCTCTCCGAACCACCGCCGTTCGATCTCCACCATTTCATCACTCTCTGTTAGTTTCAATATTGCTCTTGACATGTCGGAAACAAGCGATGATCCTTTGGGAAAAACCTGCAGTGGCGTTTGAGGTGAAAATCAATTAAAAAATTCAATTTTTATTTTTACTTCCTCTCTCCCAATTCCTTCAAAATAACCAAAATAAACAGACCCATAATAATCATCTAAGAAAGGAATTAACCGACTTACAAATCCAAAACCAGATGTTTTGTAGAGCGGATTGCCCATTGTGAAGTTGTCGCAGAAAGAATTGAGGAAAAGTTTGAGGTACGGGATCTCGTCGATGATGGCGGCGACGGAACCGTTGGAGAGCGCATCCTTGTACTCCTCAGGAGATTTAAAACCGAAGAGTTGAGACTCTTTGAAGCCAATATTGAGAAGAAGGCCCTTCACGAAGGAATGCCGGAGAAAGCCGACGTTCTTCCTATTGACGATGAGCTCCTGAATATCAGTTATGCTTGGCTGGACCTGCCTCACGGTGAGCATAGAAGTCAGGCTAGCCGTGTAGCTCGAAGTCAGTATAAGGACCACAAACACCCAAATTGTCATCACCAGCTTCGATAGGTTGCTCATTATGGTCTCCTCTGCAATCAATTATACAGTAAGAAAAAATCTAGCTGAAAATGTTGACTAAAAATGTGATTTTTTGTCAAAAAATTACTGTGGGCGAAGACGAGGGTGGAGAAGGAGAAGTAGAAGACGGTGCCGATTTGGTGGGCGGGTGGGCCGCGGAACTCTGGGTTGATTCGGTGTTCGAGGAACCAGACGACGGCGCCGGTTAAGATGAAGAAGGCTCCGCTGACGAGCCAGAGGTCGGTCGTGAGGGGCTTGAGGAAGATCCAGGCTCTGTGGCTGCGGACGTCGCGCACGGTGACTAGCATGGAGACGCCGGAGGTTGTGTAGGGGAAAGTGAAGCCTACGTGCTCCGACCGGTTGGCCGTTATGGTCACATCCCCCACAACGCCGTCGTACTTCTGCAAGCGCCGCCGACCATATAAAAACATCAGTTTTGCGTGTTACTGTAATTTTTATCTATGTTTATTAAATTATTATATAAAACTAAGATTTAAAACACATATTATGCTGTTATAAAATTTTTATCACATAATAGTGATGCATTCAAATCCACTAAAGCCATGCATGATTGCATGCTTAGTTCACTAGCATGGAGGTAATATTACAGCATATATTACTCTTTCAGCTTTAAAAAAATATTTAATAGATATTAAAATATTATTTCACCACATTCTAAATGTTGCTAATCATGACCAATATCTTCATGTCAAGCTAATTACACAGGTCACTTTGGTCAGTTGATTGAGAATTTTGACTATCAACTAAGTAGTCTTGAATTCAAATATTATTTTTGTGATATGTGTGAGTTTATCTTCATTAGCCTAAATGTCTTAAAAAAAAAGCTAATTAAAGTTTTGCAATATTTTTTTTTGCAAAGTAACATAATAAGAAGAATTAATAACTCATCGGTACGAGTCAACAATGTAGAATACGACCGAAGGCAAGAGTGGAAGGTAGCTGCTATTCGTCATATTCGAAGGCTAAGGTTTTATTTGGAACAGCTTTTTTATTGCTTTATAAGACAGTGTTTTAGTATAAAATTTTTTTAGCACTAAAACTCTATTTTATAAAGCAGTATGAAAGCTGCCCAAAAGATTAGGATGATTTTATTACTGCTTTTTAAAATACATTTTTAGTAAAAAATTTTAAAATTTTTATACTAAACAAGTTGATTTATGAAACAGTAATAAAGCCGTCCCAAACGAAGCCTAAGAATATCAAATTAAACTAAGTAGGGACCAAGATTTTATTAATTACTAAACACATCATGCTTACGATTCAAATATAAAAAAAAAAAGATTCAAAGTGTCTTAGAAGGAAAAAGCTAAGGAAAGGAAGGACAGAAGATTATCTGCGTCAAACAACATGAAAGACCTTCATCTTTCAACAGGCTTTTTTAACTACTTTCTAAAGTAATTTTTTAATATTAAAATTTCTTGTTATCTCTCTCAAGTTAATATCTAACGATTAATGATTTGTTAATCACTTGAGCTCATTAATCAATTTATTTCCTACTTAAATAATCATAATTAACACATTTAATTAATTTTTAAGTAAATCAAATCGCCTCATAAATCTTAGATGTTGCTTATTATATTATTCACTTTGATATGATATTATTAGTTAGTGAATTATAATAAAAGATATATAATTGGCCGTTATCTTTGACATTAAGTTAATCTAAATAGTAATAAATTATAAGTCAATTAAATTATATAATTTTAATGAATAAAATAAAACGAAGATAAAAAAATGATGGCCGTATGTGTATTATAATATTCATATAGGGGTGTCAATATTTGACACGACACGACAACCCGACCCGGACCCGACCCGGAAAATCCGGGTTGGACCCGACCCGTTTGATAAACGGGTCGGGTCCGGGTTTGCAGATTCAACCCGTTTAATAAAACGGGTCGGGTCGGGTTGACCCGGCGGGTTGCCGGGTCAACCCGAAAACCCATTTAATTTAAAAAAATGAATTTCCCGCTCAATCCCGCTGCTGCCCGCTGCCCCTGCCGCGCTGCCCGCTGCCCGCCTGCCCGCCTGCCCGCGTGCCCTGCGCTGCCCAGCTGCCCCGT